CAAAACAACCAGAGCCGGTTTGAGGTTCGTCTCCATCAAAACAGTCAAAACCTCGAAACAATTCCAAGGAATGGAATCCTAAAGCTTTACGGTTCCCGTACCTTCGAGTCATGGATGGGAGCTGGGCAGGGGGACGGCGAGAAACGGGAATAGCGATGGGGACAGCAGGGAACGCAGCGAGAAATGGGAAACCGGATGGGAACCACAGCCGGCCCCGGTGCGGGAAGGGGCTGCGGGAAGGGACGGCACTGCGGGGCACCGGGATGTGCGCGGCTGTTATTTTTCATTTTCCTGGGGAAACTTTTGCTCTCAAGGTTAGTTTCCTCCCAAGGCAGCACTGGAGACCGCCGGCTCCTCCAGCGCATCAAAGCCGAATTAATGGCTCGTTAAGAGCCCGGAAAGTAATCACGCAGCCCTCAGCTCTGTTAGTTGCTTTTGTTTCCGGATGATGTAAATACGGGAGAGAAGTTTCCTTCTTTCCCGGGGACGGAACCCCCAGCCCCCACTCCCAGCCCGTTCCCGTGGTCTTCCCGCAGAGGCTGAGCCCCGCGGTCCGGTAGAGGAGGAGGCGATGCAGACATCGGCACAAACCCTCCCCATCCACGCGTGCCACGAAGTTTTTGCACGAACACCACAAAGAGCCCCACAGAACCCCCCGACTCCCTCCTCCCTTCCTACCTGGGACATCTGGGGCCTGAAGTTGATGTCCTTAAGATCGATGGAGCCGGGAGAAAGGTTGTGCAGCAGTTGGCACAACAGCACCCCGTCCCGCAGCGCCTGCGCCAGGTCGAAGACCACCGCCGAGGGCCAAACCACGCGGTGGTTGGGGGGCAAAACTTTGCAGTCGATCAACCACCGCCCGCACTGCCGCCACTCCTCCATGGCCGCGGCCCCACTCTCGGCCTTCCTCCTTCCTCCTCCTCCTCGCCGCTCAGCGAGGGGCTGCTCCGCTCCGAGCCGCCGCGCTACGGCTCCGCTCCATCGCCGCCCGCTGTCCGGGGAAGCATCGCATCGCTCCTCCGAGGAGGAGGAGAAGGAAAGAGGAGGAAGAGGAGGCGGGGGACGGAGCGGAGTTTTCCGGCGAAGGGCTGCCCCTGTGCGGCCCCACTGCCGCGCTCAGCCGCACCGCATCGCCCCGCGGACAAAGGGCCCGCCGCCGCCGCCTAAGTTGCGTCCTGCCCCCAACCCCCCCGCAGGCACCGCCCCGAGGAAAGTTGCGGGGCCCCACCTGCACACAGCACGGCTCGGACCGCCGCCGTACCGGGTGGCAGTTTGCTGCTCCCCCCGCACAGCCCCGCAGCCCCCGCCCCGACGGGAGGAGCTCCCGGACCGCCCCCCCCCGCCCCTTTGTCTGCGGGAGCCCCAGCCGGGCCGGGGGGAGGGCGGTGCGTTGCCGCCTCCGCTCCTTT